CGTCACATTATAGCGTCTTCACGGATGAAAGGGCGAGCATGTTTGGTGGGACGGGGATTCGAACCCGCCACCCTCAGATTGCGAGTCGAGCGCCCTAACCACCTGGCCATGCCGGGCCTACGGTGAGTCTACTTCTGGTGGCTTTAGGTTTTAGCTCGAGAGTTCTACAACAAAGCAATATATTTCTTGCAAACTTGGCACATTTAGTTGTGATTTCAACGCTTTTCGCTTTTTAATGCCATCAGTTGATAATACATAACACTATTATATTACAAAAAAATTTTAATATTAAACAAGAAAGACACGGTTTGAAGTGATTTAAATAAAAACTAAAAAAACAAACAATAATTTGCAGTTAATAGTAAGAACAACTGTAAATGTTTTAATTTATATAATGAAATCCGGTATTGTAACACCTGGATAGAATATGAAACACTTTGGTCTGTAGTGTATCATATTTTTAAAGAGCACTTGATATGTGACAAGACGTGAGAGGACGACAATTTCAAGCACTCTGAGTACAATATGGATAAATATCGATCGGTATGAAACTAAAAACTATTATACTTCTTTAATATTTAGAACCATATCTTTAAAATCACGTTCCTCTAAATATTTTTTAACATATAAATATAGATATAATATTTTGGCCAGAAATTAGTACGTCAGTGAAACTAGCTTTACGATCGTTTCTAATATCAGCCAGTTTATTCACGTGAAGAGTAAATATTAAACCATTTTGTATAAAATGATTTTTGAGACAGAATCTAAATACTGTTGTAAATACATTTTCTGTATCTCACAGGACTACCTCACGGGTAGAGGAAAGATGGGGGTTTGGAAAAAAGAAATTGTCGTCTCAATATATTATCCAACATGGGCCTTAGCGAGTCCCCCCCCCCCACCTAGAAAAAAATAAGAACGAAACTACAAGCAACATAAGAAACTTTTCTTTCTGATTAAAGTTGTATTTGTACTACCACCGAGTTAATCTAACTATAAATGTGTACAGTGTCCACTACCGTTATGAATGCTTTGTAAACAATTCTGTGAAATATAACATATATACATGATTAGTATATCGTGGTTCGCTCTGGCCCATCCTATACAATATACTAGGGCGTAATAGCTCAGTTCCCTCGGTGAGCAGTGACTTTTTTTTTACTTATTTTTATTCTTAGGTAACATCCTAGACACTCTGTATTACGCTTTTTTGAATATCACAGTGGTTACAAAATGGAATCTTAATTTAAGGTATTATACAGTAAAATTCTCTAACAGGAAAAGTAACTTTTCTTGTAGCTCATTTCTTTTATCCAGTACTTGCGATAGATAAGACCATAAATTCAAAATCCTAATACAGTAAATCTCCACTTTAAAAGTTCAACAAAGATGTATTTCTAAAACGTATTGTAAAATCATGTTACACCAGTATTATATCTTTACAGTTTTTGCTACAGATGGTTTGGATAGAATTTCACAATTCAAACGAGTATATAGTTAAAGAGAAATATATATTGCTGGTGACATTTTAATTGTTTATTAACACCAATAACTGTATCAATTACTTACCTTCATGACATTGACCGATAACTGATTTGTGGCCGTAGGGGAGTGAAGCTTCAGGTCTTAAGCCAGCATGACCTGGACCGAAAAGACATAAGGAAGGTCCCAACTTAAACCTTCAGCTAAGACAGAAGCTCTTTTTTTACTGAAGCACAGCACTCTAAATTGATTCACAAAGTCTGTAATTTGCCATACAGGTTTTTATGGAAGAAGTTGATTATACAATTAGATAACCTTGTGGGTAGTAGGATAAAAGTATTTATGGGTATAAGTTTCACAAATGGAGGTTCTACTGGTGTCAGTGCCCGCCCCTTTACAGCGCCCTCTGACTTGTTATCTGTCAATCAAATATCAGGGGCGGAGACAAGCAACTCTCGATTCAGCCACCCGTGGATAAAGTGCAACAAGAACTCTAGCACAAATTGAATATTTTTGTTCATGTTACTTACACAAAGAATATATATAATATGACATAAGTGATTATAAAGAAAGTATAATGCCATTATAAGCTCTTTAACTTTGACCAGTTTATGTCTTCCGGTTGAACAACGGTAACTCTATGAACTTATAACGCTAAAATCCGGGGTTCGATCCCCCGCGGTGGACATAGTAGATAGTCTAATGTGAGTTTGCTCAAACTTGATCAGGATATACACCTTTAAGACGGTTTTTGACATATTATTTCAATTATATTATAAATATGGGATGCTGAGACACTGTGATAAACATGGAAAACTGCATTAGAATCTGGTTACATGCGACTCTGGCGTATTCCGCTTCTCACACCTTGTAAATATTGTGTCCACGAACAAAGATATAAAATATCGAACAACGTGCACCCTTGTAGTCGCAACATATTGAAAGACCTGAAGCCACAAAGATAAGCTGCTCAAGCCCCGTGTTGATCCTGAAAAGCGACAACTATTGACGCTACTTTTATAAACTCTCCACAAAGGACACAAGGCGGCTGTATATACAAAAAGCTCGCTTGTTCCAGTATGAACGCATGAGTAGCTATTTAAGAGTAGGAGGAGTCACCTATTGATCTAGGGATATCCGAACAAACTGTAAATAATACATGAAAGATTATGCTCGTCTGGGGTCCCACAGAAGAATCTCGAATCTTCTCTTTGACTTTACAACTCCTAAAAGAGGGAACAAAGCGCCGCCGAAGGAGTCAGCCGCAGTGCCTGAGCTCTCGCAGGACAACTGTCAGCAAGCGTGGCTGCATTTTAACTTCCTGGACAGAAGTTGTCATCTATGAACCTGATAAAGTCACATATTTCATAGCACACACTATGTGAGACACATTCTATAGAAATATAAGAGACACTACAAGATAGCGTAAACTATCTGAATTTTGTGAATTTTATATAAACTAGCTGAGGGTATCCGTTAAGGAAGGAAAAATCTATATAAATAACAATGGTGAACAATGTTCCCCTTCCTTCTCTGTTTTATTTTTTTTAATTCCTGATAACCTCATTAGGTTCTAAGTGCATAGCCTGCTTTCTGGAAGGTTATAATCGCCTCATTTAACTGATTAGTACTTACGTTTTTAAATACAAAGCCAAAAGTCTATAAAAAATATAAATGTTTCCTATTTCAGGGTTGTTGTTTTTTGTATTCCCATTTTCGCGTAAAAATCCCCAAACAAAGTATCCCATGTATACTGTCGTACAGTTTCCAATTACCATACAAAAAATTATGGTAATCGAGCCAGCCAATTCTGGCTGATGGATGCTAACACATTCTCACACACATATAATGAATCATCTTGTTAGTAAAATATCGGTTGCTTTTGTTATTGTTCCAGAAGAAGCTAAATCTCGTTACATCTCTTGGGCCTTTCTTTAAAAATATTTAGTAAACGTAAATGATAACAGCTAATTGAATTAAGGCGATGCATTTGCTTCATCAAAGTCCTTTAAATCTGAAATAAACCTGCAACCTTAATGACTTATTTGAGATAGTGACCAAATGCGATTTCAAGAAAATGCATTGTATTATTTCATTCTGTTTTTAATTGTTTTGAGCTCTTATGCGTATGTTCTTTGTCACAACATAAATGTAGAACAAAACATTTATATATATATTTATATATTCAAAGATGTTATTTTCAGATAAAAAGATTAATTTAAAAAGCGCCCACTAATAGGGCGTGTTTGTAAGAAGAAACAGACCCCTCAAATCTATCAAATCAAATTTGAAAATATATACCGGTGATAAGTTCTCCTGTAAGCTTTCTTTAAAAGTATATATACTTCTGATTATAAGTATTGTAGGCTATATTCAATATATATATATATATACCTAACTGGAACTTGTGTAGGCCATCTTTAAAAATACACATCTGGAACTAGGTCTCCTGTAGGCCATTTTTAAAAATACACACTTTTTAACTAGGTTTCCTGTAGGCCACCTTTAAAAATACACACATATATCTATACAATCTTTAAAAATGTATACGTCTAACTAAAGTTTCTTTGGACAATTATCCATACTTTTAAAATCACAACTTTCATCTCAAGTTAGACGCCCCCCCCCCCAACTGTAGTGGCTCAGCGATAAATCCGAGGGCTTATATCGCTAAAAATTGGATTTCGATATTCGCGGTGGGCAGAGCAAATTGTATAGCTCTGTCCTTCACAACAAACAAACAAAACAACTACGTTGGACGGCTACATGTCGCTTTTTTATAAAATTTAGATAGAAAAATTCCGCTTATTCCTTTGCAGGTTTGTGATGCTGAAAATATTTTACTTTCAGAGCCATATCTTCGTCTTTTATGGCTGCAATTATAGAGTTGCTACACAAACCTAAACTTTCACGCGGGCATATATATATATATTTAAATAGAGAATTTTATATTTCACTGCGCACAAACCGCCATATCTTTGTCTTTTAGGGCTACAATTATAGAGTTGCTACACATACCTAAACTTTCACGCGGGCATATATATATATTTAAATAGAGAATTTTATATTTCACCGTGCACAAACCTTTGGTTCGTACACAGGAGCGTCGGTCAAATCCAACTGCTTGGTCAGGAAACAACCCCAAATAGCAGTGACTCTATAGGCTAGCTGTGTTACCTCAACTGTATCAGTTCAATGCGAAATTGAGAACGGCAATACGGAGATAGTCCTTGTATAGCTAAACAATGAGCTATCTGCACAGTGTCTACCATGGGGAAACGAACCCCAGATTTTAGCATTGTAAGTCCGTAAACCTACTGCTGAACCACCGGGGGAGGGGGTGGGTGTACAAATTTTTAGGAACAAAAAACAACAAACGAAGAAAAAGATATATTTTAAGTTGTTTTATGTCAAAAGAGAGTTTTTTTTATAAGCACAGCTATCTTGATGATCATGGGGATCTAGTACATTCATTAGAACAATAAAAACGACAATCCCCCTTAAAACGACGTGGATATATTTAATAAGGCACATTTAAATAACTTATGAGTAAGTATATACACCAGGTGATTCACAAGTCTACTGACAGTCAAACAATTCAAAAATGGAAAGGAATAGCTAAATTATTTTATGGTATGAAACATCGAGGTCCTTTATGGTCGACTTTAAGGCCACATCCTTCGAAAGTTTTATTAATATGTATCATGTGTCAAAAATGTAAATTACAAATGTGTAACAATAACACATCAAACATTTTAAGCCAAAAATATCCGAAAGTGTTCCAAAACAACAGTTGTAGATATGGATGCAGATAAGGTAAACATTATACAAGATATAGAAATGATGTCCAAACTTTAAAAATACCAATACGGTGGCTTCGATGTCAATATTGGTTGCTTTATGTTCTTGGTCTACCTGCGTTAATGATCCTGTAGTACGTAGCCGCTAACACAAATTAACTATCATCTAGTGTGAAGGATGACGTTCACCTGGGAAAAAAAAATATGTTAGTGGCCTTGGCAACCTGGTAATACGTACCATACAGTAGGATTACGTTAAACTGTTCTTCAACTGAGTATTTTGCCATCATCTAGATTAATTGTGAGCAGATATAGCACAATTCTTGTGATACCTTACGTAGTGGGCTTTATTTTAATACTTTTCTTAAACTTTTGGACAATTCAAAGATACAGCGACTTACATATGCAAAACGTTTAACGTTTAAGCACATCAAACCTAAATTTGTATAACAACCTGTGCTATGGTCGGATTTTGGTCTTCTGTGGCAGAACCACGTATGCGTGCATTTATTCCTATAGCCTCCCAGTGGCACACCGGTATGTCTGCTAGAAAGCATGTTTCAATACCCGTTGTGGGCAGAGCACGGATAGCCCATTGTGTAGCTTTGTACTTAACTTCAAATAAACAAACAATTCTTCCTATAACTGTTGTTTTTGAAGAGAGAATGTGGTAATTTGGTTTAAAACGTTTCATTACTTCTACAATTTTGCCTTTAGAATATTTGACGTAGGATGCATATTAATTAGAGTTCTATAGGAAATGGCCTTGTAAATGACTCTGAATGACCTCAATGATATTTCCACAGGATAAACCCACAATACCTCATTCCATACCACTGACCCCCCAGTGGTACAGCGGTACGTCTGCGGACTCACAACGCTAGAATCCGGGTTTCGATACCCGTGGTGGGCAGAGCACAAATAGCCCATTGTGTAGCTTTGTGCTTAATTACAAAGAAAGAAAAGAAAACCATACCATTGACATTTATTTTCCTATTCCTCTCTATTCTAGAATTTTTTGCTTTTCAATAGACTTCTTAATCACTTTTTATATCATGTTTATATCATTTCCAAATACATTTAAACGTCTTTTAACAATTGATACGTTGATGTTTGGTTGTAGAAGCTCAAGCGGAGGGAATTGTTACATATAACAATATTCTGGTTTAGGTTTAAGTTCTACTTGGGGATTCGTTGCACATGAAATACCCGTTTAAGCTTCATGGCCAATGTGAAAGTTGCTTTTCTGTTATATTTATCATACCGTTGTATTCCTATTTCTCTAGATTTATGTAAAAGTCC